TCCAGCCTGGATGAGTCCTTCTTTGCTGTGCTGCTCCCCCAGCACACCACAGCATAGAAAAGTACTCCTGCTACATCAAAATGAAGGGGTATTCCTGCCCACCTGGGAAAGTGGGTCATCCAAATTCCACTCTTCATCGGTACTGACACAGGGTCATTTCCTGCTCAGACTTATAAGCTGTTCTCTGTTCTCAAAAGTACAAGGACAGTCTTCTAGTGAAGGACAGTAATGGGTGGAGGCGTGACTTGAAATAACCTTTACTGGTATACATCAACAGTCACCAGTGTGGTGGTCACTATTATTATTGCCTTTGAAGAAGTGCTACTGTCATCACAGGGGATTTCTCTGGAAGATGGATTACTCCACAGCTCTGTGAATGTGTGAATAAGACTGCAAGTAAAAATGAAAGTAGTCACTGAATGACTCGTGCTGTAAAATAGCAATTTACAAAAGCACAAGCACCTTTGAAAGAAAATTACAGTGGACAAGGTAAAAGGATGTCGCGGTGACACTTCCCCGAGGACTCATCTTATGCCAGTAAAAAAGCCATATCGTTATGCAAGCATGCTTCGAGAACAGTAAAATGTTGTGTAACATTTTAAATTAATGTATTCATTTACAATCCCAATGTGAGTGATCGAATACTGTACACATAATATTTATGGATTATTCTTATAATGTTATTTATATTTAAAATTTGTGATTTTTGCGAGATTAAACAAAGTTTGTCTAAAAAGTAAGACGAGAGGAAAGATTTTGGAGCAAAACTATACCGTCTCCATAGGTGGATCTAAAAACCATGGGATCAATAACCTCAGATCTTAACTTGCACCTCTTCTTTCATCACCTCTGATTCTATGATTTAGATTCGAAGATCGAAGAGAGCTGATTTATTTTTGGTTAAATAAGTTCAACAAGATGAAAAAGGAGGTTTCCCTTAGAGAGTTTGGTTGAGGCTACTGCAGATTTGTGGGCAGCACATTCAGGATACAAACCAAGGCTGCTGTAGTGAACTGAGATCTGGTGAGAATAGTGCAGAGTACCATGAATTCAATGTCATTTCAAAGAAAGCTGCAATGATTTGACCTTTAACATGTTGCTTTTGCTAAAAGTAGCTCTCACAAATAGGTTCTTTTGAATTAACTGTTAAGGCAGGGGTGTCAAACTCAAATACACAGTGGGCCAAAATTCAAAACTGGAACAAAGTCGCAGCCTAACATTAATATTTATTGAAAAAATAAATCTTCCTCCAGATATAAGAATGAATCTTTTCTTATGGACTCAAACAAGTTTTGCTGAAAAGCTGAATATGGAACAAGCAAAGCTTAATACTAAACAATATATATATTAGCTGTATAATACCAGTAGGCCAGCTCTAATAGTAATTTGGCTTCGCGGGCCAAATGTAAGTAGGCTGGCCAGAGTTTGACACCTATGTGCTAAGGTTTAACAGTTCCACTTAGGCTCAAAATTGATTGTCTTTAATATTTGGATGGAATTTTTTTGTAGATAATCGCTGCCCGATTTCTAGAAGCCAAGCCTGTGTCGCTAGCTATCACGTAGCACATCATTATATACCAGCTAGCCAAACTTCAGAAACCTTACAAACGTCACTGCTGTTTAGTTTTCTGTCTTCATTTATGTTGAAGTGATAGCAGAGCTGTACGTTTGAATTTTTTCAGGAATCTCTCAGTCAGAACATGCTATATCATGTTTAGCTGGAAACTAGCGAGCTAACGTCCTGCTAACTGCTAACTGCTAACTCCGTTGAATTTAATAAATTCTGTTTTCATGGATGCCTGGATGTTAAACCTAATTGTTTAGTCAGTTTAAACTCTCAGTGATGCCGCAGTATTTGTTTGACTTTGCGATCTGAGGTGGACGGACTTTAGGATCCAGATTACTCCACAAGGCTCCTGACTACGGCAGCCGTAATGCTCCAACAATCCCTCAAGCGGTGCGGCTCCGTAGCTTAGCAAAGTTGTACTAAGAAAATATGGTATATAGTGTCAAATCACAACAACAGTTACATCAAGGCGCTCTATATTGTAAGGTAAATAATATAATGTAGAGAAACTCCAACAATCAGATGACTTACTATAGGTGGTTTCTCGCAGCTTAAGTACAGTTTTTTGTTTTATGGCAGTTTTTCCTGACTTCACAACATTCTGATTGGTCACTTGCAATGTTGCTCCTGGAACAACATTTACTATGTTGATCTGGGAACAACACCAACACGACGACATCAGATCATGCTATAAACACATGGTGGTGAGAGAAGGACAAATGCTCAAGCATTAGCAGCCTAAGTGTATTGCAGCATAACTTAGGGAGAATTCAGGGTCACTCGATCCATCTCTAAATTTTAGCTTTGTTAAAAAAGAACATTTTAAGCCCAATCTTGTAAGTAGATTGGGTGTCTGTCTCACAAGTTCAAACTGGAAGCTGGTTCCAGAGACGACAGGCCTGTAAGCTGAGCACTGCCTCCTATACTTCTTTTAAATATAATAGCATCCACCAGCCAGCAGTATGAGAGTGCTCTTTTTGGGTGATATGGTAGTATAAGATCATAAGATGGGACCTGACCATTTAAGACCTTGTGTGCGAGGAGCAGGATTTAAATTTTAATTCTGGATTTAATATAGGAGAAAAATGCTTATCACATTGTCTTCTACTCTATTCTAATTCTTGGGGCATTAGTTTTTACCGAATGCTGAAACTGAATCCTATAAACAACGTCTCACATTTGCAATCATTTTCCTTAAGTAGTGTTTCTTAGGTTTCTTTCTGGGAAGGATTGTTTTCTATCTCATTACCTTTAAGCCATACAGTTTAGACTTTAAGTGTAGTGTTTAGCTAAATACACCATGACAACATGCAAGTGACCTTTCGAAGAGTCTATACAAAGTCAAAAAACAACATCACACCCTCAGTAATTACAGGGATATTCAGAAACAGGTCCAAAGCTCCTTTTTTGGCGTTGTCACAGCAACAGTCACATCAGTTTGCCTTAGGTTATGGGGTAAGGATCCTGTAATGATAGAGAAAAACTCCAGCAATCACTCATCCTCCTATGAGTTGCCTCATTGCTCATGGGACAGCGGAAAGGAGAAACTCCTTTTCAACAGGAAGAAACCTCCAGCAGAATCATTTTATTTTGATAACCTCTTGTCTTCTGTGTTCTACTTTATTTCCTTTGTCACCAGCTTAATTAGCTGTTTCAGCTGCATCTTGTCTTCCAGGTGTTTACTTTCTCCCTGATTACTCCATTTTTGCTCTCTTCAGTCTTTGTTAGCATTTTCCCTTCCTGTATGTCACCTTCCTACTTAGGATTTGGTTTATTCGTGTATCTCACTACATGTTTTCAATGTCTGTTATCTAATATATCTACTATTTTCAAATATTCTCGTCTTTTTTGTTTGTAATACTGTAGACTTTGGCTTCCTGCTTTAATTTAGGTTAGTTTTAAGTTTATTTCTGCATCTGAATCCTCTGAAAATGTATTTCTCCTGCAAAATAACACAACTCACCTTTAGCAGGTTTAAATACCACATGTTATTAAGTCATCTCTGTCTCATCTCTTTGTTTTCACCTGCTACAACCTGCATTGACCCTGTCAGGTTTGGTTTGGAGCTCAAATGTAAATCAATCAATTCATTCATTAAATTAATTCAATTCAATTCAATTTTATTTATATAGCGCCAAATCACAACAAAAGTCGCCTCAAGGCGCTTCATACATACAGAGAAAAACCCAACAATCA